CCATAGAAATAAATTGATTGGTTAACATCAGAGTACTTCAGGTCACTTATTTTGGTAAAAGTTAAAGCAGAGGGGACTTCCTTATTATGCTTACTCATGTAGACTGGAATCTTCTATTTACAGGTTAATATGATCTGCTTTGAGAGCTATCTGCTTCCTTAAAATTTCAGCGGGAGTGTATAACATCCAGCGTGTGAGGCTCTATTTTGAAGTGTCTGTACTCTCACTTAGGTGAGAATATGATCAAAAATTAAAGAATTAGCATTAGTCTCAATAACCATAGTTTTGGGCTTCCATTATTTCTCTTCTTTTCTTTTTAATTTCCTTTGTCTTTATAAAATTTTTTTCATACTTTATGTTCTAGGGTACATGTGCACAATGTGCAGGTTTGTTACATATGTATACATGTGCCATGTTGGTGTGCTGCACCTGTTAACTCGCCATTTACTTTAGGTATATCTTCTAATGCTATCCCCTTACTCCCCCATCCCACAACAGACCCTGGTGTGTGATGTTCCCTGTCCTGTGTCCAGGTGTTCTCATTGTTCAATTCCCACCTATGAATGAGAACATGCAGTGTGTGGTTTCCTGTTCTTCTGACAGTTTGCTGAGAATGATGGTTTCCAGCTGCATCCATGTCCCTACAAAGGACATGAGCTCATCCCCCCCTTTTTTTTATTATACTATAAGTTCTAGTGTACATGTGCACAACATGCAGGTTTGTTACATATGTATACATGTGCCATGTTGGTGTGCTGACCCATTAACTCGTCATTTACATTAGGTATATCTCCTAATGCCATTCCTCCCCCCACCCCCTCCCCACAATAGGACTCTGTGTGTGATAATCCACTTCCTGTGTCCAAATCCCGTTGTTCAATTCCCACTTATAAGTAAGAACATACGGTATTTGGTTTTCTTTTCTTGCGATAGTTTGCTGAGAATGATGGTTTCCAGCTGCATCCATGTCCCTACAAAAGACACTATCTCATCCTTTTTTATGGTTGCATAGTATTCCATGGTGTATATGTGCCACATTTTCTTAATCCAGTCTGTTGCTGATGGACATTTGGGTTGATTCCAAGTCTTTGCTATTATGAATAGTGCTGCAATAAACATATGTGTGCATGTGTCTTTATAACAGTATGACTTATAATATTTTGGGTATACCCCCAGTAATAGGATCTCTGGATCAAATGGTTATTCTAGTTCTAGATCCTTGAGGAATCGCCACACTGTTTTCCACAATGGTTGAACTAGTTTAGAGTCTCACCAACAGTGTAAAAGTGTTCCTATTTCTCCACATCTTCTCCAGCACCTGTTGTTTCCTGACTTTTTCATGATCACCATTCTAACTGGTGTGAGAAGGTATCTCATTGTCCTTTTGATTTGCATTTCTCTAATGGTGAGTGATGATGAGAATTTTTTCATGTGTCTGTTGGCTGTATGAATGTCTTCTTTTGAGAAGTGTCTGTTCATATCCTTTGCCCACTTTTTGATGGGGTTGTTTCTTTTTTTCTTGTAATTTTGATTGAGTTCTTTATAGGTTCTGGATATTAGCCCTTTGTCAGGTGAATAGATTGTAAAAATGTTCTCCCATTCTGTAGGTTGCCTGTTCACTCTGATGGTAGTTTCTTTTGCTGTGAAGAAGCTCTTTAGTTTAATTAGATCCCATTTGTCAATTTTGGCTTTTGTTGCCATTGCTTTTGGTGTTTTAGACATGAAGTCCTTGTCCATGTGTATGTCCTGATCAGTATTACCTAGGTTTTCTTCTAGGGTTTTTATGGTTTTAGGTTCAATATTTAAGTCTCTAATACATCTTGAATTAATTTTTGTATAAGGAGTAAGGAAAGGATCCAGTTTCAGCTTTCTACTTATGGCTAGCAATTTTCCCAGCACCATTCATTAAAAAGGGAATCCTTTCCCCATTTCTTGTTTTTGTCAGGTTTGTCAAAGTTCTGATGGTTGCAGATATGTGGTATTATTTCTGAGGGCTCTGTTCTGTTCTATTGGTCTATATCTCTATTTTGGTACCAGTGCTATGCTGTTTTGGTTACTGTAGCCTTGTACTATAGTTTGAAGGCAGGTAGCGTGATGCCTCCAGCTTTGTTCTTTTGCTTTAGGATTGTCTTGGCAATGCGGGCTCTTTCTTGGTTCCATATGAACTTTAAAGCAGTTTTTTCCAATTCTGTGAAGAAAGTCATTGGTAGCTTGATGGGGATGGCATTGAATCTATAAATGACCTTGGGCAGTATGGCCATTTTCACGATATTGATTCTTCCTATCCATGAGCATGGTATGTTCTTCCATTTGTTTGTGTCCTCTTTGATTTCACTGAGCAGTGGTTTGTAGTTCTCCTAGAAGAGGTCCTTTACATCCCTTGTAAGTTGGATTCCTAGGTATTTATTCTCTTTGAAGCAATTGTGAATGGAATTTCATTCATGATTTGGCTCTCTGTTTGTCTGTTACTGGTGTATAAGAATGCTTGTGATTGTTGTACGTTAATTTTGTATCCTGAGAATTTGCTGAAGGGGCTTATCGGCTTAAGGAGATTTTTGGCTGAGATGATACGATTTTCTAAATATACAATCATGTTATTTGCAAACAGGGACAATTTGACTTCTTCTTTTCCTAACTGAATATGCTTTATTTCTTTCTCTTCCCTGATTGCTTTAGCCAGAACTTCCAACACTATGTTGAATAGTAGTGGTGAGAGAGGGCATCCTTGTCTTGTGCCAATTTTCAAAGGGAATGCTTCCAGTTTTTGTCCATTCAGTATGATATTGGCTGTGGGTTTGTCATAAATAGCTGTTATTATTTTGAGATACGTTCCATCAATACAGAATTTATTGAGAATTTTTAGCATGAAGGGCTACTGAATTTTCTCAAAGGCCTTTTCTGCGTCTATTGAGATAATCATGTAGATTTTGTCTTTGGTTCTCTTTATATGCTGTATTATATGTATTGATTTGCGTATGTTGAACCAGCTTTGCATCCCAGGGATGAAGCCCACTTGATCATGGTGGATAAGCTTTTTGATGTGCTGCTGGATCCGGTTTGCCAGTATTTTATTGAGGATTTTTGCATCGATGTTTATCAGGGATATTGGTCTAAAATTCTCTCTCTTTTTGTTGTGTTTCTGCCAGGCTTTGGTATCAGGATGATGTTGGCCTCATAAAATGAGTTAGGGAGGATTCCCTCTTTTTCTATTGATTGGAATAGTTTCAGAAGGAATGGTACCAGCTCCTCCTTGTACCTCTGGTAGAATTCGACCGTGAATCCGTCTGGTCCTGGACTGTTTTTGGTTGGTAGGCTGTGAATTATTGCCTCCATTTCAGAGCCTGCTATTGGTCTATTCAGGGATTCAACTTCTTCCTGGTTTAGCCTTGGGAGAGTGTAAGTGTCCAGGAAATTATCTATTTCTTCTAGGTTTTCTAGTTTATTTGCGTAGAGGTGTTTATAGTATTCTCTGATGGTAGTTTTATTTCTGTGGGGTTGGTGGTGATATCCCCTTTTTTGTTTTTTATTGCGTCTATTTGATTCTTCTTTCTTTTCTTCTTTATTAGTCTTGCTAGCAGTCTATCAATTTCGTTGATCTTTTCAAAACACTATCTCCTGGATTCTTTGATTTTTTTGGAGGGTTTTTCGTGTCTCTATCTCCTTCAGTTCTGCTCTGATCTTAGTTATTTTTTGCCTTTTGCTAGCTTTTGAATATGTTTGCTCTTGTTTCTCTAGTTCTTTTAATTGTGATGTTAGGGTGTCAAATTTAGATCTTTCCAGCTTTCTCTTGTGGGTATTTAGTGCTATAAATTTCCCTCTACACACTGCTTTAAATGTGCCCCAGAGATTCTGGTATGTTGTATGTTTGTTCTCATTGGTTTCAAAGAACATCTTTGTTTCTGCCTTCATTTTGTTATGTACCCAGTAGTAATTCAGGAGCAGTTTGTTCAGTTTCCGTGTAGTTGAGCGGTTTTGATTGAGTTTCTTAGTCCTGAGTTGTAGTGTGATTCCACTGTGGTCTGAGAGATAGTTTGTTATAATTTCTGTTCTTGTACATTTGCTGAGGAGTGCTTTACTTCCAACTATGTGGTCAATTTTGGATTACGTGTAATGTGGTGCTGAGAAGAATGTATATTCTGTTGATTTGGTGTGGAGAGTTCTGTAGATGTGTATTAAGTCCACTTGGTGCAGAGTTTAGTTCAATTCCTGGATAGCCTTGTTAACTTTCTGTCTAGTTGATCTGTCTAATGTTGACAGTGGGGTGTTGAAGTCTCCCATTATTATTGTATGGGAGTCTAAGTCTCTTTGTAAGTCTCTAAGGACTTGCTTTATGAATCTGGGTGCTCCTGTTTTGGGTGCATATATATTTAGAATAGTTAGCGCTCCCTGTTGAATTGATCCCTTTACCATTATGTAATGACTTTCTCTGTCTCTTCTGATCTTTGATGGTTTAAAGTCTGTTTTATCAGAGACTAGTATTTCAACCCCTGCTTTTTTTTTTTCTCCATTTCCTTGGTAGATCTTCCTCCATCCCTTTATTTTGAGCCTATGTGAGTCAAAAACCTCTTGAGAGTAGGAAGCCAAACCAAGGCCAACTTCAGAGTTTGCCTGCATTCCCTATGGGTTTATTCTACATATATTCTCAAATAGAACATCCAGTCAGAACCTTGGTAATATAACCAATGTTTTCAATGTGTCCTGTTATAAAAAGAGAAGATTCTTACTGAACTTGTGCAAATAACTTTATTACTGTAAGTATATGAATACTCATGAATAGTTTTTCAATTCTGAGTCACTCATATTGGGAGCAAGAGCAAATGTTTCTATTTTTGTTTACAAAAGTATACTTTACCAAATTGCTGTAAGTATAAATAGCTTAAAAGAAAAAGTTCATAAATCTGGAGAATAAAACAGTCAAAGAATCAGCACATTTTCAAATAAAAAATTATGAAAACATTATCCTTTTGATTGTTTAGTCCAATAAAACTGAGTTTCTTGTCTTCTTCTTTGTTTTGAATTTCATGAAGGTATCAGCCTGTTCATTAAAATTTTGAAAGTTCTCAGAGAGTCCAGTGGTATGATCTTGAAGTTATCAGAAACTTGTATTCAAGAGTCGTTGTCAGAGTCTTTTCCATATATCTCCTTGAAGAAAAAGCAATTTTGAACTGTAGCTGATTTTAAGTACTTCAAGGAAGAATCAAAGCAACTGTCTGGGAATGACAAAGATTTAAAATGACTATGGTTAAAAATCTAATGAGATTTTTATTAGGTTTATTATGGCAAAGACACAGCTCACATAGAAATCTAGTTACTTGTGTAGCATATGGTACTATGACTGATAACGTATTCGATTTCCAGAAATGTTATATAGTTTTTAGAATACTCATTTTTTAAAATTTATTTATTTATTTTTGACATGGAGTCTGACTCTGTCGCCCAGGCTGGAGTGCAGTGGCATAATCTCTGCTCACTGCCACCCTCACCTCTAGGTTCACACTGTCATCTTGCCTCAGCCTCCAGAGTAGCTGGGACTACAGGCGACTGCCACCACCCACGGCTAAGTTTGTTTTTCTATTTTTAGTAGAGGCGGGGTTTCACCGTGTTAGCCAGGATGGTCTTGATCTCCTGACCTCATGATCTGCCCGCCTTGGCCTCCCAAAGTGCTGGGATTACAGATGTGAGCCAACACTCCCAGCCTAGAATACTCATATTTTTAACATTCCCATAAATATTATTTAGAGAAGGTTTAGCATCACTTATCCCTCATTTGAAAGTGCTTTATATATATTTTAATATATCAAATAAAGTGACTTTTCTATTCAGCTTCTGTTTCCCAATTGGATTACTGAGTTCTTGGTGTAGCCCATTAACAATTAGGGCCAAAAACGTATAGTCTTACATATGTTGAAAACGGTCCTTAGGTAATTCCAGTACTTGTACCTGAAAATCATTGATTTCGTTTTAAGTTCTACCTATTACAACAAGAGTTCTCCATTTTCGTTACATGTTTGTAGTATCAGGGAAGACTTAGAAATTACCAGTGCCTCTGTCCCTCTCCAGACCTTTAAACTGGAACTCATGGGTGAGGCTTGAGCAGCCACTTTTAAAAATGTTTTCCAGTGATTCCAATGTGTAGCTATATTCCCCATCAGATTTCTCTGATGTCTTGTGGTCTCCACTTTTTTTCCTATTTTGGTATCATGATTATTCTCAGGTCTCATTTCCTGTCTTATGCTTTATGTCCCCTGAGGTAGGGACCTTGCCATGTTCATTTCTGTATCTTTTCTGAACACGTGAACTGGTCATCAGGAAAGTGTCTTAACCACACACAGGTTATATTCTGAGTCTCAGATTCACAGGGTAATCCTAAAGTCTTTGTTCTCCACAAGGTCAGAGATTGCTTGTGATGAAGGGTGTGGTTAAGTCTGTAGTGCAGATGGTGGAGGGGAGTTCACTCTGTTTTTAGGCATAGCATTGGAACAAAGAATTTTTTGTCTATATAGATGAAGGGGCAGGATGTGTAGGAAAACAAATCTAGTTAGGATGGAGGAATTATACTAGGAAGTAGAGGTAAAGGGAGTGAGAAGGATTAGTAAATAGAAAAAATGTGAACTTACCAAATAGGCTAGAGTAGACCCCTAGAGATTCTCGATTAAGTGAATTAACTAGATTTTAGAAAGTTAATGAGGCAGTCATATGCAAGGAAGGTTTCAAAGTCTGGAGACAAGAAGTCAAGCAACACTTTGAGAAGTGGTTCAGCTTTATGGAATGGAGAGAATTACACTATTGAGAGATGTTAAATATAATGAACACGGTTTCACAATGTGAAATTATGTTTCTCATTTGAATATGAGAAACAAATGAGCAGAGACTGGAGATAATTATGTCTAAAAGACAGTGGGGTACAGGGAGTATAAAGGCCAGGGAGAAAGGGAACTGCAGGAATTTGTGCTGAGAAGCAGGAGTTTGGTGGAGGAAGGAGGAGATCCAGTCCCAGATACAGGCCAATAAGTTTTTTCCCTCTCCCAAGCATGGTAGTCAGCCCTGGAGGAAACAGGACAAGAGAAAAGCCCATCATACCTGCCAGTCTTCCTGAAATACAGAAATGACATCACAGTTGCTATGTCGGAATATCCCAGGGTAGACGTCCTCTTCTTAAAGGAGCTGTCATGGAAAGAATGGAAAAGAAGGAATGGAGGTGACGTCATTTTACTGGGGGAAACCTCAGTTGCAAGCATGCAACATGAGGTGCTGTATAATGGTTTCTTCAAGGAATATATTTTTTCTGTTGGAAAGTTGATGGTAGATGATTATATTCTTGCAGTTGATTTCCCCTCTCATCATGTTTCTCAGTTGGTGATCAGTCCTCTGTCAATTCTCTACTGTGTTCAGACATTTCAGAAAGCTTTCAGATGTGAGAAAGGCTGATTGCTGTTTTCTATGTCATTGGAACTTTCCACTTTTCCACCTTTTCATGGTTGCATATTTTTCTCAGTGTCTCTGTGGTGGCAGCCATGAATGAGACCCTGCCAGGTTTTCATGGCAGGGACATGATTGACAGAAGGCCCAGGTCAGTGCATTTCAAATTCACCACCTCCTTTGCACAGAAATCTTCCTTCCCACAGGTTCCCAGCAAGGGCATGAAAGCAAGCCTAGTTCTCTGGGGCTGTCTTTTACTTTAATGGGTAACTAGTGGAGGACTCCCCATCAGCCTTGCAAAAACTCTCTTAGGACTGCATTGATAACTAAAATTTCTTTCTCTTTCTTTTTCACAGGAGTCAGCTTTGCATAGTGGTCTTTGAGTTCTCCCACACTACCTTCATGCCTGCCCCACATTCCCTCACAGGTGTCTTCCCTGATACGTTATCTTATATGTCTAATCCCATCCTGGATGCGTCTCAGTTGGTAAAAACTAACATACCAGGCTTGATTCTTTGCACTTAGGTTTTTTCCTTTCTCTCCTACAAGTTGTCAGTAACCATGTCCTAGAGTTTTATGTGTTACCCCTTGTTCTATATATATATATGTAAATAGGTACTGTTGAGGGGCATGTCCTATGTGCCAGACCCTGTGCTAAATACTTTACCTGTACTTCATTTAATTCTCACACTAACCCTGTCAGGTAGACATTATTTCCATTTTGCCAATGAAAAGACACAAGCTTATATAGTGTGAAATCTTTCCTGGTGTCATATGGCTAATAATAGGTGGATCTGAGAATTCATTCTAGGAGTATTTGTCCTCAACGGTAATGACGATGGTAGTAATGTAGCAGCTGACATTGGTTTGTCCGTATGTGGCATCTTGTTTCACTGACTACATTAAACCTTTAAAAGAATGGTATGAAGCAAGCTCTCTCATACTTCAGGGTATGAAAGAAGTAGAAACTAAACCCAAGCACAATGAATTAGAGAAAGAATAAGGATTAGAGTGGATAAAAATAAAATGGAGAAAGGAAAAATAATAGAGGAAATTAATGAAATGAAAAGTTGATTCTTCAAAATAAAATCAAGAAAATTGATGACCATTAACTAGACTGACTACGAAGAAAAGAGAGAAGATTAAAATTACTAAAATCAGAAATGAAAATGGAGTATGGTTTGTCATATTTTAATAGTAGCACTTTGGGAGGTCACAATGGGAGGATTTCTTGAGGCCAGGTGTTTGGACCAGCATAGGTAACCTGGGGAGACCCTGTCTCTACAAAAAAAAAAATTAAAAACCAGTTAGCTGGGCATATTGGCATGCATCTGTAGTCCTAGTATCTTGGGAGGTTGAAGAATGAGAATTGCTTGAGCCCAGGAGGTTGAGGCTGCGGTAAGTCATAGTCATGCCACTATATTTCATTCTTGGCTGGCTTACAGAGTAAGAGCCTGTCCCTCTCTCTTAAAAAAAAAAAAAAAAAAAAAAGAAAGAAAGAAAGAAAAGAAAAAGAGAAAAGAAAATGAAGTGATTATTACCAATTCTAATAAAATGATTATGAAATTACTGTAAATAATTGTATGCCAATAAATTGTATAACCTAGATGGAATAGACAAATTTCTGGAAAACACAAAAATATGAATAGAACTATAATCAGTAATAAGATTGAATCAATAATAGCATTTGATGAAACTCAATGTTTTTTCTTAATAAAAACGTTCTAACTAAGAATGGAAGGAAACCACCTCAACATAAAGGCAATATGTGAGAAACCCAATATTAATATCATACTGGAGATATCATAGTGGAGAAAGACTGAAAGCTTTCCCTGTGTAAGGAGGAACAAGACAAGGATACTGCTTTTGACACTTCTATTCAATGTAGCTTTGAAAGGTCTAGTCAGAAAAACTAGGTGAGAATTTAAGAAAAGACATTCAAATTGAAAGAGAGGAGTAAAATTATTTCTGTTTGCAGATAACTTGAACTTATATATAGAAAATCCTAAAGATGGAACAAGCCTATTAGAATTAATAAATGAATTCAGTAATATTGCACAATACAAAATCAACATTCAAACATCAGTCGTATTTCAATACACTAACCATGAACAATCTGAAGGGAAATTAAGAAAAAAATTTTAATTTGTATTAATATCAAAAAGAATAAACTATTTAGGAATAAGTTGAACCAAGGAGGTGAAATGATTATACTTGAAATCCATAAAATATTGCCTAATGATGACATCAATAAAATGAAAGACATTCTGTTTTCATGAACTAGAAAACTCAGTATTTTTAGGAGGACAAAGCCACCCAAAGTGAGCTACAGATTCAATACACTTGCTATCAGAATCTCAGTGACATTTTTGCAGTAAAAGAAAAATCTGTCCTAAAATTTATATTGAATCTCATGACTCTAAAAAGACAAACAACCTTGAAGAGGAAGAAAGAAGCTGCAGGACTCACACTTCCCGATTTCAGCATTTACTACAAAGCCCCAGTAGCCAATACAATGTGATACTGGCATAAAGGAGGACATAGAAATTAGTGCAATGGAACAGAGAGTCCAAAAAGAAATACTTGCATATATGTCCAAATGATTTTCATCGAGTGTGCCAAGATCATTCAATGGGGAAAGGACAGTGCTTTCACCAAATGATATTGGAAAAGCTGGATATCCAAGGGCAAGAATGAGTGGAACTTTTACCTAACAACACATACAAAAATTAACCCACAATAGATCAAAGATCTAAATGTAAGAGCAAAATCTATACAACTCTTAGAATAAAACATAGGAGAAAAGCTTCATGATATTGGATTTCACAATGATCACTTGGTTGTAACAACAAAAGCATAGGCAACAAATAAAATGGATAAATTGGACTTCTTAAAAATCAAAACCTTTTATATATCAAAGAATATTATCAAGAAAGTAAAAAGGCAACCCATGAAATGAGAAATATATTTGCAAATTACATGTGGGATACAAAATTAATTTCCAGAATACATGAAAAACTACAAGTCAACAACAGCAAACATCTAAAAACCCAATTAAAAAATGAACAAAGGATTAAAACTGAGTTTTCTCCAAGGAAGATATACAAATATCCAGTAAGCCCACAGAAAGTTCCTCAGCGTCACGAATACTTAGAGATATGCAAATCAAAACCACAATGTGACACCACTTCACATAGCTTAGGATGACTTTGATAAACAACAACAACGACAACAACACAAAACAACAAGTGTTTTCAAATAGATGGAAAAATTGGAGCTCTAGTGCATTGCTGATGGGAATAGAAAACGTTATAGCCACTGTAAAAAGTGGTGTGGCTGTTTCTCAAAAAATCAAACAATAAATTACCATTTGATCCAGCAATTCCACTTCTGGACATACTCCCTATAGAATTGAAAGAAATTTGAACAAATATTTGCACATTGATGTTCAGAGAAGCATTACTCACAATAGCCAAAAATGGAAGCAACGGAAAAGTCCATTGAAAGATAAGTGGGTAGGCAAATGAGGTATATCTATACATTGAAATGTTATTCAACCTTAACAAGGAATAGAATTCCAATACATCGTGCAAAGTGGATGAACCTTGAAGACATTATGCTAACTGAAATAAGCCAGACTCAAAAGGATATTTATTATATAATTCCATTTATGAAAGATAGAATAGCCAGTTACATAGAGACAGAAAGTAGAATGGTGGGTACTAAGGGTTAGTGGGAGAAGGATTGAGAATTACCATTTCTTTTGTGCAGAGGTTTAATATGATAAAAGGAAAAAGTTCTGAAAATGGATAATATGATGGTTACACAATACTAAATTGCACACTTAGAAATAGTTAAAGATAAGTCTTATATTAGATATATATATAAAGTGTCCTGGTAGTCTTACAGTCTATAAATACACACTTTTTGGCATTGCCTCTTTCCTGCCATGCAGAGCCCCAGAGGTGAATATCCCTATTTCTACAAGTGTGCATCACTCACTGTCCTCTCTGCTGTGTCCCACGTGCTGTGTCAACAGTCTCATACAGCCGGTGACTTCAGAGCTATGACGCAGCTCAAGAGTCTGCCCCAAGGCTCCCTCTCTTCTAATTTCCCTGCAGCCTAGCCTTCACTTCAACTGGCAGTTCGATTTAGTCGAATTCAGGAGAGGCCACCAGGGCTCTTTCTCCACACATGCTGGTCCCACACCACGTGGAGTCAGGAAGGGCCAGTCACTGGAGAAGCCCAGAGTGGAGCAGGCAGCAGTCTGGGCTGCTCCTCTCTCATCCAAGGGGCTTCCTCCTCTCATTTGGGGGAAAAATGTGAGCTTGTTTCAAAGCCTCAGATGTTCCTTGTAGCTCATGGAGTAAGTAAAAGAAAATAAAGACGTGGCCGAAAGGGATGTGTCGGTGACAGCAAGAAGCAACTTGATCTTGAGGACTCTCCTTCTTGTCCCTCTATGAAGACTCTTCCACTACATAGGGCTCGGGACTGACAAAGTTCCCTCCCAACCTTTCTCAGGCTGGACACAAGGTCAGCCGTGAGAAAACAGAAAAACAAGAACAGAATCTGTAGAGACAAATTGAGAGGGTTCAGGAGGAGAATTTAGGATTTGCTTCTGCCCATGGGACACAGGCTGGGAATAAAAATGTTTTCCTGACTCTTCTCTGAAAGCCAGATAGACTCCACCTAAAACTCTATTGCCAGTGATGCAGGGATCCACTTACCAGAGACTACGATCATCTTGAATGTGGAACTTTCCCTGCCAGTGGCTGAGTTACGAGCAGAGCAACCATAGATCCCGGTATGCTTTGTAGTAATTTTGGGGATAGAGAGCTTTTGTCCTGATTGCAGAAACTTCCCATGCATCGACCAAGTATACTCTGTCGGTGGGTTAGAATCCGCGAAGCAGGACAAGTAGAGATTTTCTCCTGAATGGTAATCGGTGCGTGAAGGAAAAATGCTGGGGACGTCTGGACCATCTGGAGTAAAGAGAATAAAGCCACAGGTGATGTCATCCAAGGGAAGGGGATGCTCCTGGTCTCTTAAAGGGACACAGTGTCCCTTTGAGCCAAGACACACCCTCAAGGCCCAGCCAAACCCTTGTGTGTTCACTGAGACGAGGCCTGAGGTATTCACCTGTTTCTCCCATCACAGGGCATAGATGCCAAGTCTCCCATGACAAAAGCATCCCCTCCCCTTATATTCTTATTGAGACTGTGCTTACCCAGGTTTTCCCAGGGCAGGGAGTCATGGCCATCTCGGGTGTCCAGAAATAAAAGTGTCCGTACTTGTACCTGAGAGAGACTGAGATGCCTGATCTCTGGTCATTTGGATTTTAGCTGGTGGCCTGGCCCAGAGAGGAACTAAAGATACAAAGGACATCCAGGGTGACTGGTTCACTGCAGATGCTACCAACTCGGTCCCATATTTCACATTCATAGGGTCCTGTGTCATTTCTTGTGACACTGGTTAGAATGAGGATCCTGTTTTTACCAAGTTGCTTTAGCCTGGGACTGACCAGGAGGCTGTGACAATTTACCCTCCACACATAGGTATAGCCCTGAGTCTTAGGTTCACAGGTTAAAGCTACAACATTCTTATTCTCCATGGGGTTGAAATTGTTGCTGGTGATGTAGGGCTTGGGCAGCTCCACTGTGTGGATAACAGAGAGAAGTTTGTCCTCTGTGGCACCTTTGATTCCTCCACAGGCATCCTTCAGTCCAGCACACATAGGTATAGCCCTGAGTCTTAGGTTCACAGGTTAAAGCTACAACATTCTTATTCTCCATGGGGTTGAAATTGTTGCTGGTGATGTAGGGCTTGGGCAGCTCCACTGTGTGGATAACAGAGAGAAGTTTGTCCTCTGTGGCACCTTTGATTCCTCCACAGGCATCCTTCAGTCAGAGTTGGCATCTCCCACAACTAAGCCCACCCGAGTCCTTGAAAGTCAATAGCTGGTGTGTGTGTCACAAGACAGATGCATGATGATCTAATGGCTCAAAGACTATGAGGCTGCCTGTTCTGTCTTAGGGAAGCACAGACTTTCTCAAGTGCGAAATGAACAGCAGTGTTGGCTCATGGACAGACACGTCAGTGGGAGCCACAGCCCCTGTTACACCTCCCAATCCCTCTCTAATCAACTGACTGACTGGCTCACCTTGGGTTCCTTACCTGGAACATGCAACTGCTGGGCCCCTTCCAAATGCCATCCTACTTTGCCCCGCTAGATGTGATTTCTCTGCAGCTTCCATTTCCAAAGACATTCTAGAGATGAGTAATAATGGGACTTCCCATTGTCCTGAAACCCTGAAGATACTGGGCAGCCTGGCCTGGGACTGGGTGTTTCAACAGAAAGAAGACAGGAGAGACCAGAGTCAAACCTGGAGGTCAGTTCAATCATCAGGCTGTGGTGGCACAAGGTGGGGCAGATTTTTGCAGGTGTTTCATGATGACTTGAGCCAGTGACCTCGAAAGATAGAGCAGAGTGCAAGGAATGATCTAGAAAGAGTGAAGGGGACAGGCAAAAGCTGGTTGTTTTGGAGCAGAAACACATTCCCTGTCCTGGGTTTTTGATTTTCCCTCTCCCTTTGCAGAGGGCAGGTGGCTCTTCCCTGATAGCCAGATAGACTTCACTGGAAAACATATTGCCAATGCTTCAGGGATCCACTTACCAGGGACTATGACCCTCTTGATTATGAGATTTGTTCCATCAGTGGCTGAGCTATGCATGAAACAGATATAGACCCCTCTATATATTTTGGTGATGTGGGGGATAAAGAACACTTGTGCTGATTTCTGGAACTTCCCATCAATCAGCTAAGGATGCTCTGCCAGTGGGTGAGAGTCTGTGAGGCAGGAGAGCTTGGGAACTTCCCCTGGATGGTAATAGGTGTATGAAGAAGAAATGGTGGAGGCATCCAGGATATCTGGAGCAAAGAGAATAAAGTCACAGGTGATGTTGTTACAGGGAAGGGAAAATCCTGGTCTGTGGAAGGGCTACAGTGACCCTCTGAGCTAAGTCACAACACTGAAGTCCCAGCCAAATCCCTGCTGTGTTCACTGATCTGCAGCTTGAGACATTCACCTGTTTCTCCCATCATAATCTGTGGACCCTGAGTCTCCCATGACTGGAGCAGCCTCTTCACTCCCACTGTCGATCAAGCCTAAACCTACTCTTAGTAGTCATGGCCAGCTTTGATGTCCAGGGGTAAAGGTCTCTGTACTTGCACCTGAGAGGGAGTGAGAGGCCATGTGTATTTGGGATGGCAGCCTGGCTCACAGAGGAACAGAAGATACTCACAGAGAAGATTCAGGGTGACTGGGTCACTGCGGCTGGAACTCACTGGGTTCTTCATTTCACATTCATAGGGTCCTGCAATATCCTTTGTGACACCATATAGCATGAGGATCCTGTTGTTTTCGCACAGCTGCCACGGGCGACTGATAGGGAGGCTCTGACCATTTATCCACCACAGGTAGCTTACGTCCTGAGTGTCAGGATCACAGGATAAGATCACAGTCTCCGTGCCCTCCCTGGGGTTTAAGTTGCTGCTGGAGATATAGGGCTTGGGAGTCTCCACTGTGCAGATAACAGAGAGAAGATTGCCCTGTGTGGCACCTTTGATTCCTCCAAAGACATTTTTCAATCAGAGATGGCATTTCCCACTTCTCAGCCCACCCAAGTCCTTAAAAGCCCACGGCAGATGTGTGTGTTACAAGACAGATGCATAGCAATCTGAGGGCTCATAGATTGTGAGGCTGCCTTCTGTATGTGGGAGAAGCACACTTTTTCTCAAGTGTGAATTGAGCAGCAGCATTATGTCATGGAAACACATGAGACCAGCAGTCACAGCCCCTGGTGCCTCTCTGAGTCCCTCCCTCTCCAACTGCATGCGTGGCCCACCTTGTGGTCCTCACTTGGAGCATGCAGTGCTGGAATCTTCTTAGTTTCAGTCTTACTTTGCCCCCCAAGGTATGTTTACTCTGCAGCTTCCCTTTCCAAGGGCATCCTAGATATGGATGATGGAACTTCCCATTGTCCTTAAACTCTTTGAGTACTGGGAAGCCTGGCCTGGACTGGGTACTTCAGCAGAAATAACACAGGGGAGACCAGAGTCAAGCCTGGAGCTCAGTTCAGTCATCAGGGAATGGAGCCACAAGGTGAGGCAGCTTTCCCAGCTGTCTTATAGTGACTGACTTGAGCCAGTGACCTCTAAAGATAGAGTAGAGTCCAAGGAATGACCTACAAACAGTGAAGGGGACAGGCAAGAGCTGACAGTTTTGGACCAAGACCATGTTCCCTGTTCTGTATCCATGATGCTCCCTTCCCATTGTAGTGGGCAGGTGAGGACCATGTGGATCTTTCTAGAAATACATGTGGATGTTTGCAAATGCAGAACTGACTGGTGGAAAAGGCGAGCATGAACTGATGATGGAAGTCTGGCCCTCATGGACCGTATGTGTTTGGTGGCTATTAGACTAATATTTGGGAAGAAGTCCTGCATATACTTTTTCTCATTAGACATTCTACTCTGTGAATGTTCTGTGAGTTTGACTACTCTATGTACCTCATCTCAGTGGATTCCAGAGAGAATCAGAGAGTAGATTAGCAGTTTCCAGGAGCTGGAGTCGGGGGAATAGGGCATTGTTCCGTGGGTGTGTGGTTTCAGTTATGCAGGATGAGGAGGCTATAGAGATCTCCTGTACAGCTTCATGCCTATAGTTCATAAGATAAAGTGTTCTTTATGCAGAAAGCTTAAAACCAGGTGTTTTGGAGTTCTAACTTTTTTTATTTTGGGATATTTGCAGTAGATGTATTGGGTTAGCATCCCAAATCTGAAAAATTTAAAATCCAAAATGCTCCAGTGAGCACTTCTTTTTAGCATCACATCAGAGGTCAGAAGTGTTGGATTTTAGTGCATTTCAGATTTTGGATTTCTGGATTTGGGATGCTCAATTTGTAATACTGTAATTTTCCCATAAAAAGTTGTCAGGAGTTTAGACCTCATGTTATGATCTGACTCTAGTAACAAAACAAAACAAAACGAAAATTGGGGGAAACATTAAAATGTTGTCATAAGTGGAAATTTTTACTGATAGTCCAAACATCTAAGATGAATTGCTGATAGTAGTATTTCTCTTGATATCTAATTAAGGTTTAGGTGTGGGGTGAATTCAGCAGGATCACATTATGCTCAAAGAAAGATGCCAAAGCTGATTTGAAATTAGCAAGTCCTTAAGTAGAGAGAGTCCCGTTAAAAGGACAGAACTGGTCAGTGTGTCAATTACATAAAGGGAGGAATGATGCCGAATTAAAAGAAGTGATGTGTGTTATGTTAGTAAATATAGAAAGAACTCCCTGTTTCTAATTTCTGTGCAGAGTTAGGAAAAATGGGGAGGAGCCCAAAACAGGTATGTGAAGTGCTTTCTTCATTTTCTCTCAACCTCAGGAAATACAACTCGAGTTTAAGTTTGTGTGAATTAAGAAGAGTCTAAGTGAGATGCCAATGGGTCATGTGTCCCCCACACGAAGAATCCCAACTTATGAAAATGGCATCATCATAAGGAAACAATCGAATGTGGTCCAGGCAGGAAAACCATCAAATAGCACCCACGGGCCACCTCCAACAGGTCCCCGAACCCACCAGTATTCCTATTACGTGAATGTTACGGCCTTGGTAGTTGTACCATAACTACAAAATTTAAAAATTGCTATTGTCAATACAAAATGGTAAATATGAAGTTGAATATATTGCTTCTTTTTTTCCCCTACTCTTCTTGAACTTTCTTGTTTCCTTTTTGGAAGTTTCTATTGACACATCCTCAAGCTAGGGATTCTTTCCTCAGCTGTGTGCATTCTACTGGTAAGCATCAAAAGCATTCTTCATTTCTCTAACAGCACGTTTTTTGTTTATTTTTTTTTCTGAGATGGAATCTTGCTCTATTGCCAAGGCTGGAGTGTAGTGGCACGATCTTCTACTGGTAAGCACCAAAAGCATTCTTCATTTCTCTAACAGCACGTTTTTGTTTTTTTTTTTTCTGACATGGAATCTCGCTCTATTACCCAGGCTGGAGTGTAGTGGTACAATCTTGGCTCACGGCAAGCTCTGCCTCCCGGGCTCACGTCATTCTCCTGCCTCAGCCTCGCCTGTAGCTGGGACTACAGGCACCCGCCAGCACGCCCAGCTCATTTGTTTGTATTTTTAGTAGAGATGATGTTTCACTGTGTTCGCCAGGATGGTCTTGATCTCCTGACCTTGTGATCCGCCCTCCTCGGCCTCCCAAAGTGCTGGGATTACAGGCGTGAGCCACTGTGCCTGGCCATCTCTGAGGGATTTTAACGAGTTGTCGACTTTTGAGTTTGTTCAACTGTTTACTTACTGTTAACCGAGTGACAAATTTCAAGCTTCTTATATGCCTGACAGGAAACCAGAAGTCTCTAGGAAGTGACTGGAGAATGCGAGCTCCATAGTAGGCTGAGGGTGGAGTCACGAGTGAAATGGGTGAAATTAGCCCATGGGCTTTGGAGACTACAAGCCTGTCAAGGCTCTGACACCCCGGTGAGTCAGTGCAAACATTACAACAGTGACAGCAAACTAGCATGGCTGACTCCATCTGGCATCTAGTCTCAGGTTGGCTGTCCTCACTCATTCCTGGACGTAGGCCAGGCTAACCATGAGAGGAATTTAGTTTATGGTTTAACTTTGAAGCAAGAATGCTAACAGTTCCTCCATAACACTAATACCCTTATTTTGCTCAGGGATTGCCTTTGTAAAACTGGTGAAAGACCCTGAGAGTAAGATTATAGGAGGGCAGCGAATTCTGCTAAAATGTAGGCACAGTTTCTATAATCCCTTACTGCTCAAATGTCATTTGCCCAGAGTTTACAAAATTCATAACTAATTTCTCCTATAGAAAACATCACTATCTTAGAACCTGAGATTGGTCTTTTGAGATGTTTCTCATTCTTTGCATTCTGGCAACCAGCTGACATCATCCATACCCATGACTAATGGCTCAGTCAGTCACGTGGTCCCCACCTAGAGGCGGATTCAAGCACAAACAGATCATTTCCCTCTGCCCCCATGATTCCATCCCCAAACAATCAGCAGTACCGATTTTTTAGTCCTGTGCTCCTGGAACTATCCTTGAAAATCTCTATCTAATGTTGGCAGATGGTATCATTCTTTCTGAAAGTATTCCAATCAGTAGAAAGAGGGAATCCTCTCTAACTCATTTTATGAGGCCAGCATCATCTTGATACCAAAGCCTGGCAGAGACACAACAAAAAAAGAGAATTTTAGACCAATATCCCTGATGAACATCGATGCAAAAATCCTCAATAAAATACTGGCAAACCGAATCCAGCAGCACATCAAAAAGCTTATCCACGATGATCAAGTGGGCTTCATCCCTGGGATGCAAGGCTGGTTCAGCTTATACAATTCAATAAATGTAATCCAGTATATAAACAGAACCAAAGACAAAAACCACATGATTATCTCAATAGATGTAGATAATGCCTTGGACAAAATTCAAAAGTTCTTCATGCTAAAAACTCTCAATGAATTCTGTATTGATGGAACGTATCTCAAAATAATAAGAGCTATGTGTAACAAACCCACAGCCAATATCATACTGAATGGGCAAAAACTGGAAGCATTCTCTTTGAAAACTGGCACAAGACAGGGATGTCCTCTCTCACCACTCCTATTCAACATAGTGTTGGAAGTTCTGGCTAGGGCAATCAGGCAAGAGAAAGAAATCAAGGGCATTCAGTTAGGAAAGGAAGAAGTCAAATTGTTCCTGTTTGCAGATGACATGATTGTATATTTAGAAAACCCCATCATCTCAGCCCAAAATCTCCTTAAGCTGATAAGCCCCTTCAGCAAAGTCTCTGGACACAAAATTAATGTGCAAAAATCACAAGCATTCTTATACACCAGTAACACACAAACAGAGAGTCAAATAATGAATGAATTTCCATTCACAATTGCTTCAAAGAGAATAAAATACAACTTACAAAGGATGTAAAGGACCTCTTCAAGGAGAACTACAAACCACTGCTCAGTGAAATCAAAGAGGACACAAACAAAAGGAAGAACATACAATGCTCATAGATAGGAAGAATCAATATCGTGAAAATGGCCATACTGCCCAAGGTAATTTATAGATTCAATGCCATCCCCATCAAGCTACCAATGACTTTCTTCACAAAATTGGAAAAAACTGCTTTAAAGTTCATATGGAACCAAAAAAGAGCCTGCATTGCCAAGACAATCCTAAGTCAAAAGAACAAAGCCGGAGGCATCACGCTACCTGACTTCAAACTATACTACAAGGCTACACTAACCAAAACAGCATGGTACTGGTACCAAAACAGAGATATAGACCAATGGAACAGAACAGAGTCCTCAGAAATAATACCACACATCTACAGCCATCTGATCTTTGACAAACCTGAGAGAAACAAGAAAAGGGGAAAGGATTCCCTATTTAATAAATGGTGCTGGGAAAATTGGCTAGCCATAAGTAGAAAGCTGAAACTGGATCCTTTCCTTACTCCTTATACGAAAATTAATTCAAGATGGATTAGAGACTTAAATGTTAGACCTAATACCATAAAAACCCTAGAGGAAAACCTAGGTAGTACCATTCAGGACATAGGCATGGACAAAGACTTCATGTCTAAAACACCAAAAGCAACGGCAGCAAAAGCCAAAATTGACAAATGGGATCTCATTAAACTAAAGAGCTTCTGCACAGCAAAAGAAACTACCATCAGAGTGAACAGGCAACCTAAAGAATGGGAGCAAAATTTTGCAATCTACTCATGTGACAAAGGGCTAATATCCAGAACCTACAAAGAACTCAAACAAATTTACAAGAAAAAAACAAACAACCCCATCAAAAAGTGGGCAAAGGATATGAACAGACATTTCTCAAAAGAAGACATTCATACAGCCAACAGACACATGAAAAAATGCTCGTCATTACTGGCCATCAGAGAAATGCAAATGAAAACCACAGTGAGATACCATCTCACACCAGTTAGAATGGCAATCATTAAAAAGTCAGGAAACAGCAGGTGCTGGAGAGGATAGGAATATTTTTACACTGTTGGTGGGACTGTAAAGTAGTTCAACCATTGTGGAAAACAGTATGGCGATTCCTCAAGGATCTAGAACTAATAATACCATATGACTCAGCCATCCCATTTCTGGGTATATACCCAAAGGATAATAAACCATGCTGCTATAAAGACACATGGACAGATATGCTTACTGTGGCACTATTCACAATAGCAAAGACTTGGAATCAACCCAAATGTCCATCAGTGACAGACTGGATTGGGAATTATAAGAATGGATGGAGGAGCTGCCTATCCCTGTTCCATGGTCTTGTTCACAGATCAGCCTCAAAACAGGAAAGAGCCCTGGATGGGAATACAGTGGAAGCTTATTCTCTTAGTGACTTGGGGATATTGGCTCGAGATTAAGCGTAGCAGGAGTGGAAACTCCAGGTCATTTCTGTGCCTTTCCATTCCACAGTGTTAGCAGGAAGGAACTCCCTAGTTAGAGGGAGTGTCTGGGGAAGGCCTAGGGGTGGAGGAAGAAGCTGTGCAGGACAGGACTTGCCAGTTACAATGAAGTGGGAGGTAGATGAGGGACACAGAGAAGCAGAGAGAGGCAGAGACAGCATGGCAGTGAACAGTGAGGGCTACAGTGACTTCAGAAACCCCAGGGACTAGGTGCCCCAGTTCAACAGTCCAGGACCAAGGAGTCCTGAAAACCCTGCAGTGGCCAAAGTGTTTTGACTTACATGAGGTGGGGTGTCTTTAGGGGCAAGAGGTAGTGGGGGGATGAAAGATGGGTGTCAGCCTCTGAAAGACAAGGGAAAGCTGTGGCTAGACATCCTAGGATTCTGCAACTGAGATCCAGTCTCTAAAGAGGTTATGGATCATTCATTTCTTCATTCAATTCCTTCATTTCTTATGTGAGAGCACCTGAGTGTGTGTCTCTCACTGGGCCCGTGCTGGTGCAAGGCGTGAGTGGGGAAAGAATACAAGGTCCTCTCCTTTATCCTGTCATGACAGTGACATGGACACTTTGGGAAACACAGGATTTCAGGTTCAGTGATAGGGATTAAGATCTGAGGGGGAGGCCTGGACATTTTTTGCATTGACTCTGATGGTTGAGACAGGTAGTTTGGTTCTGGAGTACAGACTAATCAGCTGATCATTTGTTCTCACTCCTCTGAGGTTTGGATGCCTAAGAAGAGAGGATTTGAGCCAATAAATGGCTGCGGGGCCCTTGGAACCCAGTAATTCCTCACTTCTGGTGGAGGAGAGGATGGACCTCTGACTGCAGACAGACCTCATGTGACCCTGATCTGCCTTTTGTGTTTGTGTGATTCTGGTTCAGTGACTGTGCCTTCCTGTGCCTCAGTTTTCTCTCAGTCAAATAAGCTGAATGGCGAATGGACTGTGGCTTTTCATGCTATCTGTGAATAAATTGTAAATTCTTCACAGTCTATTGCTTGTAAATGTAAATTCTGATCTAATGCTTGGTTCAGTGGAGGTGTTCACACAAACAGCATTTATTATTATTCACTCTCATGAGAGAACACCTTTAGGTCAGATCCCTGTGGACAAGCTGCTGCCAGATACATTTTCTCTCTTCTGTTTCTGCTTCTGGGGACATGAGACTTTCTATGGAGTGTCCTAAACCTCACAAGGCAGTTGGTTGATGGCCTACAAAGCTTGTCTTTCTGTCCTCTCCACTCTGAGTCTCAGGTGAAGAAAGCTCTGTCCTTGCCCAGATGAGGCTCTGAGGGCTGAGCCCTGGCTGGTGAGCAGCTCCAGGAGACACAGTCCTCAGACAGCTGGTGAATCCCTCATCCCAGTAAGCCCTGCCACAACCCAGGCCTGGCACAGGCTCCTCAGCTTTATCTGGAGTAAGGATTTAGGGACAGGCGTCTGGCGTTGAGGCCTCGAGGGCTGAGCTTTTCTGAGAGTATCTCAAGGGTCCTCTTAGGCAAAACCCTACTCAGTTCTCCAGGGTCTTTCTCAGGGTCAAGTTTATGAAGAGGACATGAGGTGCTTGGCTGAGACTGATCTCCTTCTGCTGAGCACCCCCCCATCAGACTGTCCTTACTGTGCAGCAAGTGTCTGCAGGGTTTGGAGGCAGGAAAGGAATTCTGATCTGTTGTAGTTTGTCTCCTCTGTGTGTGTCCTGCACTAAATGCCGAAACCCCAACATGGGACATAATGCAGAGAGGGACACAGGCACAGTCCGGGCCTGACAATCCTGTGTGTGCAAAGTAGAAGTGACCCCCACCCCCCAACACCCAGGGATCATGTGGACTCACTCACGGTATAAAGTGAAATGTCCAGTTACTCTTTTAGTCCCATCACCTCGCTTTGTGATTTGAATGGTGTAGGATCCTGTGTCCTTCTGGGTGACATTCTGGATCAGCAGGGATGCATTGGAATATACAGTTTCTCGTCCACTGTATGCGGGCCCAAGTATAATCATTTCAGTGTCTATTGTATATGCTGTAATGTAATGGTGGAGGTCCATTATTTGCCCTTTGTACCAGCTGTAGCCAGCAACATTCTGGGGCAAATTGTGGACAAGTAGAAGAACATCCTTCCCCTCAGAAACTTTGGTTGGCTGTGCTTCAATCGTGACTTGGGCAGTGGTGGGCGGGTTCCAGAAGATTAAAAATGATGCTAGGAGGTGGAGAGAGCATCAGTCAATATTGAAACCTATGTATTGGGGTAAAAAGATGGGGCCCTGGGTCCTGAGAAGATCTCTTCAATCATCAGCCTTGAAGACACACACACACACAAAGACACACACCCCTTTTTTGTGTGTGTGTGTGTGTGTGTTTTTGTCCTACTGTCCTGCTGGGTCAAGGTCAGCGGCACGACCCCCATTCCTTCAACACTTCTGACCTTGGCATTTTTCTCTTTGAAATCATCTTCCCCATTGATCTGCATGGCTCCCTCCACACTGCCCTCAGGTCCTGCTCACATCAGAGCATCCTCAGACTTCTTTCCTGACACCTCCTTCAGAGACCCTGGGTCTTCTATTTTTGACCTTTCTGTGCTCTGCTCCCTCTGGAGCTCTTGTCAGCACCTGACCTCACATTCTAGATCTCTTTGCATGTCTGTCTTCCTGCCCATGAGAGCACGAGCTCTGTGAGGACAGAGACGTTAGTGATCTTGGTTGCACCCCAGTGCCTGGGACAGGCTGCAGACTCCTGAAGATGTGAGGGTTCCCAGGGACCTCTATGCCAGGGCTATTTTTTTTCTTTCCCCAATTGTTGAGGTTTTTTGCTAAGGACAGTGTTTCATGCCCTGCTTATATTTTCATTTGAAGTGTCATCCGATAATAGTTACTATTATCATTTTTCAAAATGTTTTGGCCAGTGATGATTAACCAGGAGAACAGAACACTTGAGATTTTCCTACCTCTTACCAATTCCAGTTCAATGTGATTTTCCTGTTGTGACTCTGTCCCTCTCTGGTATATTTTCCCCGATCCAGGCTCCCACAGAGCCTTCTTTCCTGTATTTTTTTCTTTTTCTTTTTGAGATGGAGTCTGGTACTGTCTCCCAGGCTGGCCTGCAGTGGCGCCATCTCGGCTTACTGCAACCTCTGCCTCCCAGGTTCCTGCCATTCTCCTGCCTCAGCCACCTGAGTAGCTAGGATTACAGGAGCTCACCACCACACCTGGTTAATTTTTTCTGTTTTTAGTAGAGACAGGGCTTCACTGTGTTGACCAGACTGGTCTTGAACTCCTGATCTCATGAATCATCCACGTCAGCCTCCCAAAGTGCTGGCTTATATTATTTTTTAGAACTCCATCCTCTCCAGGAGACCCCATCCAATCATTCTGCTTCCTCCTCCTGTCCTCCCCCAGGAAGTTCTCTCCTTACCTGTGAGTAGAAGCTCCTTCCAGGTGATGTCCAGTGTGCAGGGAGGCGCTGAGAGGGGCCCCATGGCCTGTGCTGCCTGCGTGTTCTCTGTGGAGATAAGCCTGGGATCCAGAAACTTTCTGAGAACGGCTGTCAGCTGTGCTGTCCTTCCTCCTTCTGTGCTGAGCCTCTTCCCGGGGCAGGAGCACTTCTAAGGCTCATGGGCGGGGTCTCTGCCCAGGACACCTCTCAGTCCTGCCTCCTTGTCCCTCCGTCTCTTTTTCCTTTTGTCTTTGTGTCATGTCCCTGGGAAATGTGGGACCTGGCCTCTGCCTTTTTCAGCAGTGATTCTGTCACCAAACCTCGGCACACACTATGTGCAGAAACACAAACACACACAAAAAAGAGATGCATGCAGACTCACACAGTCACACACATACCCTGTAGGTTCAGCAAGCACAGTTCTGGGCCTCAGCCTCCTGCTGTCCCAATGGCTCTGGGTCAGGGTGCACATTCACACCCCTTGCCCTCTTTCATCCCCATCTGGCTCTCCCCTTCAGTGCAGGAGGCTGGAGCTGCAGCAGGTCCCTGTCACAGGGACACCCCATTGTGCTGTGGGTGAGCTGTGTGTTGCCTGGTGACAGGGACCCTTCCTTTCTCTAATTGTGTCTAGTTTGACTGCAACTCCCAAAGATGGACATTCAGGACCTGGGTGTCCCAGAGAAAACTGTCCTTCCTGGAGGTGTGCAGAATGAATCTCTCATGCCTCTTGGGAGGAGAGGCCTGTGCTGGTTGCTCAGAGGGGGCTGTGAGTCCCACGGTCAAAGGGACAGTTCTCAATCACTCCAGTGCTCCCTTGGGACTGGTGGATGGGTTTCTCATCTCTTCCTGACCATCTTTGGTGTCCTTTCTTCTCTGCCCAGCTGATTGTCCTGTGGTCACCACACCTTCCCCGTGGTGGTGCAGGAGGAAGTGGGGGAGTTACCCAGGAACCCCGTGGAACATGGCTCGTTGAGATACAGGAAGGGGAGCCTGGGACAGAGCAGGGGTTCAGAGCTGGAGAGATTCATCCTGACTTACTCCGTGGTCGTGATGGGCTCAGCCCCCCACGTGCTGACATACCCAGGGGTCTGTCCTGAGGGTTTTGACGTGGCCAAGTTGCTCTCTGTAGAGGAGGAACAGGCAGTCACCAGAGAGCCTGTCTGGAGGGACCTTGCTCACACCTGAGAAGGCAGGTGGGGGTGAGTTGTGTTCTTGGATGAAAGAGCAATAATACCCCCTTCTACCGGCAGGGACACAGGAGAGATCTGTCTTCCCAAGGGACACCGGGGGGTAGGTGGCCACATCCTATGTGGTGCCTGTGTGTGACCATCACACGCGCTCTGAGCCCCACGGGGTGCAGCAGGCAGGCAGGTCACAGGGTGCTTCACTGATTCCCGGGGAGTCTGTGGGCCCTCAGGGAGCCGCTGTTCTGTGTCAGCGCTAGGCTTGGCCTAGGATGCCCCACAGAACAGGACAGATGGAGCAGAGGCGGGCATTTAGGGACCAGTGACAGGAAGAGTTGATGAGGATGGAGGGAGGTCACGAGGGCAAAGCGCGCAGTGTGGCGTCGCGTGCACCAGCGCTGCCCTGGGAGATGTCTGTTTAACTGAGCCCAGGGAAGGAGTAGGTGTGTGGGGCAGGAGCTGCCTGCAGAGGGAGTGGTGTTAGGTTGGCGGCTGCCACGTCAGGGAGGAGCTGACACAGTCCGTGTTGGGAGCATGGAGGACGTTGAGGACTTGGGCCGAGGTGACCCTGGTGAGGGTGGACCCTGCTTGGCTATGCGTTCTACTGAGGGAGGTCGGCATCTCCTGGGAAGGCTCCAGGCTGGAGGGACTCTGTCGCCCTCTGGTGGACTGGAAGGGAAGTGTGGGTGGCTGAAGTCCCAGGCCAGGCTGCCTGTTTTATTCCATAAGGATCTGCATGTTTCAAACGAGGTCACACATATGCTATGTTACAGCTCCATCACCTTCCAGCCCTGTGAGTCCCATCTCTGTGGCTCTACGTTCACTGTTCTCCCTCTTTCACGATCGGATGTCCCAAACGCAGATTTTTGTCACCTTCTGTGAGTTTGTGTGTGTGTGCAGTAGGCGGCACTGTGTATGCCCTGGGGGCAGTGATGTCTGGGGCTGAGCACTGCACATGGGCTTGGGAACAGAAGACGGAGCAGCAGGGCGGGAGGATCAATGCCAGGGGAGCAGGGACAAGTCATTTTTGTTTTCTCACTCCTAGGGACCAGAACCCAGGTTTCTGACTCCAGGGCGCAGTACCACACGCTGCTGGTGTCCCTGGATGTAAGGAGTGCTCATAGTGTCATGTTGCCTTGGCATTCATTTGTTAAGGTGTAAATTTATTTACCTCATATCAGAGGCAAGCCTTACTCACCATGGCAGTTTTCCATACTGTATCTGGTTCAAGTGACTGCAGTTGGTGGCCAGCGATAAAATCTAAGAGGCATCTCTCTTGCTTGGTGTGCTGGTTTCCTCTCTCTCCATCTACTTTCTTTAAACTGATATTCTGACATTTGGCCTTACATTTAAAGTGACCACTTCTCAATCACAGCGTGATTTCCTGGTCCCAGTGTTTGCTGCTTGCTTTAAACCCATCCGTTAAAACTCCCTGCTGGAAACCTGTCAGATAACACCTGGACTTACTAAAGACATTGGCTTACATTTCTCTTCTCTCCTGCTGCCTGGGCTTGCTGACCTCTGTATCTGTGGTCTCCATGTGTGCCGAGTGCTCTCCAGTGTCTGTAAGTAGTAAAAACACTTACACTTTCACGTTGTGGTTGTATCACTATAGCCTCACACGCCATCCAGGGCCTGACATCGAGGCTGCCCTATGGGATCTGTCCTCATTGAACCCCTGTTGGAGCTCTTGTTTTGGGACCTGCAGTTCTTCTGGAGAGAGGAACTTCCAGCTAACTTGATTGAAAGAGTGATAAGTTTCATGGAAAAACTGGGTCAGATGGCGTATTCATGGGCTTCAGCTGCCATAACAAACACCTTAGCCTGGGTGAATTAAATACTAGAAATCGATTTTTCACAGTTCTGTGAATAATGTGCTATTTTAACCACTTTAAAATGTGCAATAAGTGGAATTAACCACATACACAGTGTTAAGTTACCATCACCACTATTTTTCCTAGAAAATTTTTATCATTTTAAACTGAAACTTTGTATCTTTGAAGCTATAATAACTCCCTGTATTTTCCACCCTAGACCTTAATCATCTCTACTCTCTGTGAATTTGCCTATTATTGATGTTTCATATAAATGGAATTTTATATATATATATATATATATGTTATTTAGTTTCTGACATATTTCACTTAGCATAATGTTTTCAAAGTCCATGCATCTTCCAGTGGATGTCAGAGCTTCATTTCTCTTTATGGCAGATTAACATTCTGTTGTATGTGTGACTACATTTGTTTGTTCATGTGTTGATGAACACTTGGATTGTTTTCATAGTTTATCTTTTGTGATTAATGCTGCAATCAACATTCCCATGCGAGTACCTATATGAGTCTCTGGATTCAATTCTTTGGGTATATACCTAAGAATGGATGCTGTTTCACATGAGAATTCTATGATTAGCTTCTTGAGGAACAATACAACTGTTTCTCCTAGTGGCTGCACATTTTTATAATCTCACCAGCAATGTATGAGGATTCCAAATTCTACATAAGGCTTTCACTTGTTATTTAGCATTTGAAAAGAATGGTAGCCATATTTGTAGGTTTAGTGTGGGATCCCATTGTGGCTTTGACTTTGTATTTTCCTAATGACTAATGATGTTGAGTTTCTTTTCATGTCCCTCTTGATGATTTGCATATCTTCTTTGAAGAAATGTCTATTTGCGTCCTTTGCCCATTTATATAAATTGGGTGGTTTATCTCTTTGTTATTGAGATGTAGCAGTTCTTTATATATTCTGGGCATGAAACCATTGTCTCTGTGATTTGCAACTGTTATGTCTCATTCTGTGTTTGGTCTTTTTATTTTCTTGATAATATCCTTTGATGCACAAAAGGCTTGCATCTTTAGCCCAATTTATCTCTTTTTCCTTTTTCTTTCTCATGCATTTGGGTCACACCTGAGAATCCATTGCACATTTGAGGTCATTAAGTTTAACCCTTATGTCTTTTTCTAAGATGTTTTGGTGGTTATAGATCTTATAATTAACTCACTCATCCATTTTTAGATAATTGTTTGATATGGATGGAAGTATAGTTCTCTAAGTTTATTGTTTTGCATGTGGTTAGTTAGTTGTTTCTGCACCATTATTTGAGAGGAGGATTGTTCCTCCATTAAATTATTTTGACACCCTTATACAAGAGCAATGAACTATAAGGGTGAAGGTTTATTTCTGGACTCTCAATTCTATCCCTTTGGTCCCTATTTGTATTCTTATGCCAGCAGCTTCTGTTTTTAGTACTTGTAACGTTTTGTGAGATTTCAAATAAGAAATTTCAAGTTCTGCAATTTATTTTGGGAAAATTGTTTTGGCTCTTTCAGGGGTACTTTTAAAAGCAAGGAGGCCAGTGTTTTACAATTGGAAAGCCTTTTCTGTCGTCTTTCAGAGGGGAATTTTGCAGTCTAGGGATCTTTTCAGGAACTTTATCACAAGTAGGTAAATTATCACCACTTCCTTTGCTGAGATACTGGGTAAAAATGTGTGTTGCCTCCCGTTGAGGAATTGAGAGACCCTGGAAGCACTTGCTTATGTGGTGAGGGACAGTGAGCTCCTTAATGAGGGGCACAGAAGACATTGCTTTGGGATACGATGTTGTCAGGGGAGCTGTGTGCCTCTACTTCTTTATTTTTTGTATGGTTTAGATCTCTGCTGGACACACTAGATAGTGAAATATTTGTTCATTCTCTTGGCTCTGGTTTGGTTGACCTGTCAGCTGGAGCTGGAGGACATGCGTGGCAGGTGAGTAACCCCCATGGGAAAGAGCAGGGCGCAGTAGAGTGGAAGCAGCTGAGACCCAGAGAAGCCAGTGAGGTCTGACTCTTAGAAGCCAAAGATCAGCAGGTGGGTGTCCTCAGGGGCAAATGGACTGCACTGGTACCCATTCCAGTGGACTGGAGAAAGGTAAGAGGCTTTGGATATTCTGTTTTCTCTCTCAGCTCTTCAGCAGGAGATTTGGGCCCTGGGCTGGTACTGTCCTGCAGCAGACGCAGGTTGGACAAGAATGGCTGCATATCAGGCCTAAGTCCATGTCATCCCCTTAGACATTGCCACTGAAGATGGAGAATTTTGTTCAGAGGCCCAGCCTGGGCACATGGGAGGAAAAACCTTATGAAAATTAATTTAAGAAAACAGTATGCATGCTTTATTCTTCTGGAATAATTATTAATATCATGTTTTACAATGTGTCTCTTACAGGAATGGTGAGAATCATCTACATAATGTAGGTTTTACGTGGTCTTTTCTATAATTGCAGCTTTCACATGCTCTTATCGAAGTCATTTCCTTTGGGAACATACAAACAGAATCTCTGTGTTCATTTCTACTAGGAAATCTTTATACAGGGTGGAGAGAGTCACATTTCCTAATGAGAGATGGAAAGCATCTGATTACCAGAAAAAGTGTCCAAATTCTGTTGCTATGATCATGGTGCTGCAGGTGGAGGTCAGTTTAAGGAGGTGTCAGGCAAAGGAATTTTGAAAGTTGTTTTTATTGTTTTTTGTTTGTTTGTTTGTTTTGTTTGTTTGTTTTTTACAAAACCATGGGTAGAAGCCACCACCTGGACCCACCACACGTTGGAATGGATGAGAGACAGAAATGGAGCTCAATAAATTGAGAATGAAATCCAGGTGTGGGGAAGAGGTTTGAGAGGTCAACGGGTGTGAGAGGTGAATGGGTGAATGATGAGAATGTTC